TTTGGTTGCAGGCTAGTCCAACTGTTACAAAGATAGGAGGAAGCACTTCTAAGAAAACAAAGCTCATTGCTACAAAGAAAACAAAGCCCGCTGCTACAAAGAAAACAAAATCTACTCCACCAAGTCAAGCAAGTACTCATGCCCCTCAAGCACCAAGTCAAACAAATGAAGATACATCTACTCAAGCACCAACTAGTGCCCCTGAAGCACCAACTCAAGCTACTAAGGATGCATCTACTCAAGCAACTTCTCATGCCCCTGAAGCACCAACTCAAACAAATGAAGATGCATCTACTCAAGCACCAACTCAAGCTACTGAGGATGCATCTACTCAAGCAACTTCTCATGCCCCTGAAGCACCAACTCAAACAAATGAAGATGCATCTACTCAAGCACCAACTCAAGCTACTGAGGATGCAACTACTCAAGCAACTACTCATGCTCCTGAAGCACCAAGTCAAACAGATGAAGATGCATCTACTCAAGCACCAACTCAAGCTGGGGTAAACATGTCACAGAATTCCGTTAGCTCGGATGAGGCAATGAGGATGTATTGTGATATAAATCCTGATGAGTTGGAAGCTTTGCTGAATGATGATGAAATACTAGATATTGTACCATTAAGCATTGACACTAGTCCTGATCCTAGTCCTGCAAAAAAAACTAAGTCTGGTCCCAAAACCTTTATAGCTAAATGTCCAAAGGTATCAAAGTCTCTTAAACCCATTGTCAAACAAGTATCTACTCCAGCCAACAACCCAGCCATGAGTGACCCTGTAAGTTTCTCTGTTGTACTGATATATGCTTTTTTGGTATGCTGTCAAACAATTATGTAACTCTTTATGTTCATAACAGGTGAAAATGATGATATCACCAAAGAAAAAGAAGAAGATTGTTGCATCTCCAAGTAAAAAGAGTAACATAATTAAGACACTGAAGACAAAGGATATAAAGGGGTCTGGAAGGGATCCAGATGACCCAGTTGTAATTCCTGAAGAAGAAACAACTATTGACAATGCTTGTGGGAAGAACAAATGGAGTGACATCAAGAAGAGCATGACTCAATGAAGACTCATGATTACACAAAACTGTTTTGGTTACACCTAGTGTCTTGTTATGTATTATGAACAAAACAAATGTTATGTACTATGACTCAAACAAATGTTATGTACTATGTACTATGTTTTGTTATGTATGAACCAATGAATTAATGGTATGTTTTGTGTGTTGAATCTAATTACAGTTATATTATGAATCTAATTCCAAGCATTATGAATTCTATTCTGTTTTCCAAAGTTTTTTATATCAAAGTTTTGCAATTTATTTCAACAACATTCATACCAGACATTTCAGCCAATTACATGACCATAACAAACTGCCTTGTACACAATTTATATCAAAGTTTTGTTATTTATTATAAAGTTTTGCAATTCATTACAATACACTTTTAAGCCAAGTACACAATCATAACAAAGTGCAAATTACTTGAAATTCATTACATAACACATTTCAGCCAAATACATGCCACAACTAAATACATTAAGCCAAATACACATTTCATTTCATTACAACCATAACAAACTGCCTTGTCCTCATTAAGCCAAATACACTACTCATTACAACCATAACAAAATGGTGCTGAAACATTAAGCCAAATTAACATTTGATTACAATACAAAACGATTCATCAATTATAATTGAAAACAAAATACACATTTATCAAAATGGACACAACAAGAAATATCATCTTCAATTTTCCATGGAATTCCTCATTTTTCAACTTGTTCTTCAATTTCTTCTTCTTCTTCCTTTCATCTTCATACAAGGACTTCATATAACCTAAAGATGCCAAGCCATGCAACTCTAAGTTCCTAATGACACCATCTTCATTTCCATATTTTTCACCAATATCTTCATCCCATATAAAGAGATTATAGGTTTCATAACTACTCCAATTAGGACATATCCAAAACAACATACCCTTGTTTGGTCCATTTTTGCGTTGATACGATACCATCCGATAATGACATCCACAAAGCCTCCAAACTCGAGATTTCACTGAAGCAGACGACATCACGTTTTCTCTGAAGCAGATAAGTGTGAAAGAACAAAACAGTAGAAAGTGAACGAAGAGAACAGAATGGCAGAGGGTGAACGACCACAAAGACAATAATGGAAAATAGAGAATGAATGGAGAAAGGGGATGAAATTAAGGTTCACGAGAAAGGGGATGAAATTAGGGTACTACTTGAAACAATTGGGTTTATGCCACCTAATACCACCTCATTTAAATTGAAACAATAAAATTTACCCACCTGTCATGCCAGCTCAACAGCCGTTAATGATTTTTAACGTGGGGGACCAATTCCTCAGACGAAAAAATATTGCAGGGACCAAAACTTGAAGGAAAATATTTGAGGAACTAAAATCGAAATTTGGAAATTTTGGAGGGACTACAAACTTATTTAACCCATATTTATATGCACGCTGACAAATACTTATGCAAATTCTATCCTACCACTTAAGGCTATGGTAGATGTACTTTATGGTTTGGACAAATGAAAAGAACAATCATTTCAAAGTAAGGGTAAATTAGTAAAAGTGTTGTATTATTTTACTACATTATTGCATTTTTTAATCTGTGTGCAATAATCTTAAACGACAATCATTTTGAAACAGAAGAAGTATAACATTTAATATCATGTGATTCTAGACACACATTTTATTGGGCTATTACGCAAATACTTTAGAATTTTGACAACTCTACATGCCACCTACATGTGCAATTATCGTTTGCAGCTTCGAGAAATATGCCATCATTTGTTGCATTAATGAAGGAAAACACATTCGTATAATGATTTGCCATAGCTAAGGGGTGGACACTTGGACGCTTACTTGTCAGGTGGGACCGCAGCTAATTATGCGCCTTCATTCAAGGGACTCGCCTACTATTTTATACGCCAAGGGAAAGAGCATCGCCCAACGTCATCCTCAATCAAGGGGATCATCAACGGAACAGGAGGCGTATGAAGAATAGAAAAACACAAGAAATGAAGTTTGAATTGAGTTTTTAAAAATTAAAACAATACGACATGTTGGTTATCCTGGTTCACTTTGAACTCAAAGCTACTCTAGTCCACCTTTCAAGGTGATTTCGCCTCTCTCAATCGAGGTCTTAATCCACTAATAAAAAATGATTACAATTCACGAAGACAACTATCAACGTCTTCTTGAGATCAAACCACAACTCAGTTTCTCAAGGAAATATAACTCTAAACAATTATACAATGTGTTTGAATTTGCTTCTAACAAACTATATCACAATTGTGATGTTTACACAAATTTTAGCACAATGAATGGTTTTAAGAGATAAAAAGATATGAAGATTTTTTGGCACTTGTTCATATGTGTGTGTATAACTTTATTTTTGGAAGGTTGTTGATTTGAGATATAATGACCTTTTCAAAAATGCAGATTTTGTTCCATGTAATGATGTTCCAGTCTTTACTTTCTTGATCCTTAATGATTTTCCATAAATATGATATCGGATCTACAGATCATCGGAGTATCTTGTACTTGAGTGCTTGATCTTATAACTTCAAAATAGATGAGTGTGTTGAACTTCTTTGTTCTTTTAGAACTTTACTTATCAAAGTATAACCTGCAGCTTGATGCTTTCAGAAGATTTAACATTAGAATTTCTTTTACTAGCGTGTTACTTTGTTTTGCTTATGAGTTTCTTATACACATATTCCCTTTAGAGCTTCATAGTTGTATTCAGTCATTATCTTTTTTGTTTTTCATCAGAACTTCTCTGTATATCCAATCAAACGATTAAAGAGCATAATTGTTCTTCACAATAATCATGTAATTGTTATCATCAGAACTATGAATTAGATGTAGAACCAAACTATGTTCTACGCTTTTTTTTTTCAAAAAAAAATTGTATTTTTTTAATTTTTCAAAAAAAAAATTCAATTTTTTTTCCGACAAAAAATCTATTTTTTATCCAATTTTTTTTTTAATTTTTCGGAACAAACATTATCAGTTTTTTTTTTCAAAATTAAACCTTTTATTTTCTGGAAATGTTTTTCCAGTTTTTTTTAAATAAATTTCTTTATTTTCTGAAAACAACAAAATTTTAAAAAAATTTATTAAAAAAAAATTTATATAATTAAATCAATTTAAAATTGAAATTAAATTATTTTAGTTAAATGGTTCAGTTTATTAGTCATTTAAGTGGTTCAATTTTTTTTATAATTCAATACAATTAAGTTCAAACATACAATTCAATTAATTATATTTTGAACACCCAGCGATATTTTGAAAAAACAAAACAAAGAAAAAAAATGAAAATATGTTTAAAAACATAGAAATTCATTAATATATGCATTAGAATAATCCCGTGATTCAATTTTTTTTACTTTTCATTAAACTTAATCACATATCAATAGAAGCTTGGGCGATAGATAAAGTGAAATTATAAAATGAGAAAGAAAAAAAATAATTTTTTTTGGTAAATGTATATAATCAAAAGCAATTTTGGTATTATTATTATTATTAATAAATTTGAATTAACTTTAGATGTAATCAAATATTTTAGAGATGTGATATCTACTTTTTTTCATAATAGTAAGTGCATTCCTGATCCATTATATCAGTATTTCTTTCTGTTACTATCAGCTAAACAAATTTACAACAACGATCAAGTTTTATCTCACTAAACGGATCAAATTTAAGAAACAAATATCGAAATTTACGATGAAATCGTCCGATTATGTACACACCAATAACCCCCTTCATACAGAAACAATAGGACAGACAGACAGACACTAAAACAAAAACTCATGCACATAAAAGGGAAAAACAAAACATATCTTACTGTGTTACCCCTTTCCAATGCCCATAATTCCAAGAATCTAAAATGCTAAAAACTACCACTATATACATCCCAATAAACCATAAGATTCCGACTTCGGGTCGTGTTACATGCGTTCTTGCTACCCTCTGCTCTCTTCTCTAGAACCCTGAATCTCACTCCTGTCCGTGTCGGAAAATTCCCTCTGCGATTCAATTTCTGCAATACCTCCTTGATTTCTTCTTCTCTGCCTTCGGTCCTGATATCCAAACAACGAATTAGTATTGCGTCCACAACTCAAAATTTCACTTACGACAAGCCACAGTAGTTTGGCTTAGCGGTTTGCATGATAACATTACTAAGATTTTAGTGAAAAGAATACTAACCACTCTTGCTAAAGGGTATTCCTCGGACTCCAGCATTCGTACAACTTGGCTCATCTTTGGTCTTTTCTCGGAATCTGGATCAACACATCGTAAAGCAGTTAAGAGAGCGCGTTTCAAAGCTCTGGTTGATGGTTTCACCTCAATGTTTGGGTCCACCACTTCTTCTGATCTCCTGCTTCCAACCATCATCTTCAGCCAATCAACTAGATTCACCTGAGACCATTGCAGTTTCACAGTTATGGTATAAAAAAACATCGATAAGAAGTTACCGTGTAGAAGGTTTAAAACCAAAATCTCGAGGATGACAACTGTCTATGATGTAAGAGCACTGGATAAGGTTTAAAAGTGCGAAGAAATGAATTTTGCTCCACGAGAGTGCTTGGTTGAACAGTGAAAAGAACAAAAGAAAATTATTGCTATGTAATCATCATTCGATGTATATGTCATCTTACCTAGAAGGTTCAAAAGTGTTGTTAAAAAGGAAGGCAGCAATGGCCCACATTGCCTAGCTGGTGCACATTGAATGGTGTAAAGCAAGAAGCCAAGAAGTAAGAAATAATTTCTTATAGAATAGAGTAGGGACGGCGAAAAACACACAGACAAGATAGTTACTACCATTGCTGAGAATGTTATTCGTGTTTCTTGAATTTGAAAGGGACGTGTTTCTAGGAATGCATAGGTGCAGGTATGGTACTGGGTACGAGATATGGAAGATAAGAAAAATAGTTAACTCACTTCATTTGTCGGACGGCCATAATCAACTGGATCTCTTCCGGTAATTCCTTCCAGTAGCAAAACACCAAAGCTATATACATCACTCTTCTCGTTTAGAAGGCCAGTATTTGCATTTGCATATTCAGGAGCCACATATCTGAAATATTTAGAGAGAAAAAGCATATAAGAATTGGTTTGTCTAAAAAATAGTATTAACAATACTTAGCATAGAAATACCGACCCAAAGGTTCCCATAACTCGGGTTGTGACACGGCTCTTTCCGGCACCCAATAATTTGGCCAGACCAAAATCAGACACCTTAGCATTGAAATCATCGTCGATTAATATGTTGCTCGACTTGATATCTCGGTGTACCACCTTTGGCTCAATTGCTTCGTGCAAATACGCAAGCCTGAAACAAGTACATTCCTTTATACAAGGATTACTAAGAAAACAAAAGGTGTAGTTGCAGAGAGACTCACGCTTTGGCTGTGCCAAGGAGAACCTTGACACGTGCTTCCCACGTAAGATAGCCATGGTGACGCATAGCTCCGTGAAGCCATTGTTCCAAGTTTCCATTATTGACATACTCGTAGACTAATATCCTGAAAATACATTTGTTTTAATGAAGGTAAGCACATTAACGACATAGCAAAGCAATTCATATTACGAATCATAATTACCATTTATGCTGTGAGCAATTAATTAATTTAGCTAAGCAGATTATTCATATTCATATATATGTCAAGATGATACTCAATACAGTCGAAGTAATTGAGAATAAGGATATACCTCGACGCAGAATCCCAAAAGGCGAACCAAGTTTTTGTGTCTGACATGGCCAATAGCTTCAACTTCTACTCTAAATTCTTTCTCTGCTTGACCACTGTTATACCAACAACAAAATCACAATGGAAAGTTGAGCTTCAGCATAATAATAAGGGAACGCAAAAGCACTTATCATAAAATTACTTACGTATAAGCTATTTCATTAACAAAAACTAAAATTTAGTCAAAATGTTTTCTTAAACTACTTTGGAGTACAAAATAAGTTGAAAGAAACTTATGATCATGTCCATAAGCTCTTACAAGCAGTCTCACAAGTGCTTATGTTAGCAGATAAACTCGAATAAGTGAACTCGAAAAACTTCGAAGAAGAAAAGAATTACGGTGGTTCAGCATTATAATGGAACTTACATATTATTGAGTATCTTTTTAACTGCAACTGGACTCCCATTGATCAACTGTCCCTTATATACCACTCCATAACCCCCTTCACCGAGAACATTTTCTTTCGCGAAACGGCTTGTAGCAAGTTCAAGATCCCTCAAAGTAAACCAATGACCCCAACCTAGGTGCAAGAATTCCGGAAGACCAGATAGAGGCGAAGGAGCTGTTATAGGATACGAAGAAGACGACTGCTTATACACAGTAACCGTCCCAGAACTACCCTCTTCACCGGATTGCGAATGCGACCCACCACCATCTTTCTCCATGAACTGATGAAACGACTCCGAATGACTACTAGTACTATCACCATTCTTCATCTTCTTCCCTAAATCTAAATGAACCATAACCTTATCAGATTCCTTATCACTAGACTTATCATGAATGGTTAAAAGTATTCCATCTCGCGGCGCAAATCCATTCGTCGACACTTGCTCAACCCTAACTTCCTTAATTTCTTTCGACACATTCGGTATCTCAGTAACAGGAATCTTGTTTCTAGCTCTCCTAGATTTCTTCCTTGAACTAAGACAAATTGAAACCACAGACAGAATCACTATAATTGACAAAGCAACAACAATTGCAATCACTTCCCAAACCTTTACACCAAAAAACAGTCTTCTTAGACAATTCAGGATTCAAATTAGCACCCATTTCTCAAAGATAATACCAAACCTACTAAACATACAATAATCAATTAATAACTAATTCATAAAACACAATAATTAAATAAAAAAAAAAAAAAAACTAACCTCAACTGAAAAACCTTGAAATTCCAGATCTCAGAAACAGCAGTTTCATAAGTGAAGAGACACAAACATAGGAGGAAGCAGTTTCATAAGTGAAGAGACACAAACATAGGAAGAAACAAAAACAAAAACGGTTATAGATCTTTAAGAGAGCATAAATCTAGGAAGTTGTCAGAAAAAAACAAGAGTATCTATACGAGGAGTTGAAAATGTGAGTGGTTATGAATGAATGAATCTAAGATAAGATGGAGCTATCTATGTAAAGAAGAACAAAAACTGTGATGAAGAAGATGAAAAGGTAGAAGAAGAAAAAGAAGAAGAAACGATGGAGTTATCAGTGGTTGGTAATAGATACAACCTTACAACGCATGAATATATGTGTATATAAACAAACAAAAACATAAATTTCATAAATTCAATTCTGTAATGTAATTGTAAGGTAGTAGTAATAAGGTTCTTGGGATTTTTCTTAGAGCTTGATATGAATGTGACGTAATTAATTATTTTTTTCCTTTTTGATTTGATGATGGGGTGAGAGGTGAGCTGTGAAATTGTTATTACTATCTATCAACTGAACTGGAAGGAAAAAAAGTACTGTTGTGTTGTTCCTTGAAACTCTAGAGACTGTATCTATGTGTGTTGTCACGTGTGAGGTTGTTTTTTTATGATAAATTTGCCTAATCATGCTTAGCTGTCGTGTTAGTAGACTAATTGGGGAAGTAATAATGGTGAAAGTTTAATGTATTTTTATAAAAATAGAGTTTTATTTATGTAAAAGGATACTGTGGGAAAAAATATAGTTGTTGAATCTTAAGTATGTGTTGTTTTGTTATTTTATATTTGTTAAAAGAATTTAATTTTAGAATTTTAATGTAATTTGTAGGTAAATTAGATGAGATTAATTCATATGCTTTGTTATACCATCATATCGCAATCATTAACAACTGTTATTCTTTAAATATTAAAATAAAAATTAAATATTATTAAAATTTTAACGGTTATGATTAACTTACCTTATAAAATTTATTTACACTATTAAATTCAAATTACATAAACATCTAACTTTCATTTTCATAAATATAAATAGAAATATGTTAGTGTGGGACACCATATATTTATACAATATATACTATTTTATTATTTTGTAATTTTGTAATTTTTTTTTCACATGTCACATTAATAGTTATAAATGATGTGTCTTTTTATACGTTATTAAAATATAATGTCAATTTTTAGATGTTCAAATAACATTAATCATACACGACTCTATAATGTAAGGACAACAATTCTCTTTAAATTATATTAATTGTTTTAGTTTAGACAATATTGATATAAGTCTTTAGATTTATTTTATAAAAGATTAATTGTCGATTATGAAATAAAAGTGACAAATAGAAACAATATCTGATTGTCGGGACACATTTTTTCATGTTTGGCATTTTTATTTAAAATGGTTTTAAGGGTTGTTGTTCCATAGTTTATGCGGAGCGAAAAATACTCGAGCGTACAAATGCTCGTAATACAACAAAGTCGTTACCAAAGTTTATTTTTGAAAGGGAAAATGTCAATAAAATACTAAAAGAATAAAAATATGATTGTCGCAACCAAATTCAAGTTTTTGAGTCGATTATGTGCAAGGAAGGTATTAGTACTCCACACATCTATTGTAGTCAACGAGAACTATTTAGTTAGTTTTGTGAATAAATAAGAGGGTATGGGTAAGTAAAACAAGGGGAGAGGCCCATATCTGGAGGCTCAACGAATCCAAGGTAAAATGAGAAAGGTTAACTCATGCAGAGCCACCAATTTTGCATACTAGGGAGTCAACGCATGATCAGGGGCCAGGGATCCAAGGGCACAGGAGATGACATGTGTCCCTCAGTATAGTACTTCGCACATGAATAAAAAATGGGATCAAACGAAATCCTCTCATTTTTCAAAGATATTTCTCTCTCCTTAGTCAGGTACTCTTCCTCCTGTAACATGTGAACACCCACCCCTCCCACTTTCACTACTAAAAATATGACATTTGAGAAAAAGTCTTTATATCAAGTATAAAAATATATGATATAAAAAATATTTGTCAAATGATTTTACATCAGACCTTTATTTCCAATGATATGAAAAATATTTGATTTAGGAAAAAATATAACACGGTGGTAGTTTGGTAAATAAGATGGATAAATAAAAAAATTGGATGTTACATCGGGTTAATGTCCCAAGCGATATAAAAGCTTCCAGTGATGAAAAATAAAAACACTGTGGTTTTTTTGTAAATAAGGTGGATTTTTTTTATAAAATAAAAAATTGGACGTTACATTGGTTTATTGTCCCAACCGATGTAAAAGCTTCCAGTAATAAAAAACAAAAAAACGGTGATAATTTTGTAAATAAGGTGAATTTTTTATTGGTCGTTACATCGGGCCAATTGGCCAACCGATGTAAAAACCTCCTCTTATTTTCATAAAACCCTAATCCTAATATTTTGTCCTTTCACTTTTACATTCTCTCAAACCTTCTCTCTCGCCTTTGTCTCTGTCTCCTTACGAACTCCATCTTTTTCACCTCCATCTCCGCCTTGCCTTCGTAAGCCCTCCGAACCACCTTCGGTGCAACTCATCTCGACTGGATGTGACTTCTCTAGCGGCTTCTCCAGCGAATAACTCTGTCACCACCATTTCTTTCATTCTATTTCAAAACTCAAACTAACACTCTCTCAGTGCCACACACAGAGAAATAGTTAGAGAAAGAGAGATATGTGTGATAGATCAGAGCTCTTTGTTCATTGGTGCGTAATCGTATATACTATTTTGTCATTTCTTCTCATTTTATTTTTTTCATTCTCATTTCTATGTTTATTTGGTCTCGATTCACTTCATTTTCTTTTTTCTGCTTTGTTCAACAGTTTTTCATAGATTCAGTTTAATTTTTCATATATTCAATTTAATTTTTCAATAATTTTTGCATGAATAGAAGTGTTTTTAGCGTTACTATGAATCGGTGATTCGTATTTTTGTTGATTTTGTATAAATTAGTAGGATTGAGCTTATAATGCAGTGATTTGAAAGTTCTATGAGTTTTGAATTTTGTTGGAATATGATTTTGATGATATTGAAATTGTGAAGTGGTACTATATTTTATAGGTTATACGTGCCGACATTTTGCGTTTTGGGGTGCTTGAAGTATTTCCAACTAGTTTTGCTTTGGTAGACGACACTTATGTGTGTGTATGTAGGATTAGGATGAGAGTATTTTTAGAGCTCCATTGGCTCTGATACCTAGTTGTTACCGCACCGAATACCTGAAAAAACAAAGAAAAGAAGAAATAGTAAAACATGTGAGGTATCATAATTTTTGTAGGAAGAGTAGTTGTTGTTAGATGATTGTTTTGTGTGTGTGTAGTACTTGCTTAAATGACAGTGAGCTTTGGGTTTGGATAGAACATGATTCTTTAAGATTTTAATGTCTGCTTTCTTCCATGTTTCCTGTTTTCACTTTCACTAATTTCCATTCCATATTTTCTTTGTCACAATTGCTTGTTAAAGGAGTCTTCCATCTCTTTGTTAGTAAG